CCACGGTGTCCTCTGATGGCAACAGTGGCCACTAGGAAGGCACATGTTGCTCCAGACTGGGCCTGTTCACGATTTCATGTGTAGGTGCATCATTTCACCGCACCTTCATGATCATCAATCACATTTCACTAACGAGGAGATACAGGCCTAGAGAGTGACCTGCAGGGGTGCTTTTAAAATATGTCCGCGTGTGGTTTGATACTCCTTCTTTCAAAAGGTGGAGCCTAATCACACTCCCCTTGCATGTGGTACATGAGCTGGACTTAGTGACTCACTTCTAATGAACAGAATGTGGTGGAAGGTGCAGGTGTTTGGCTTCCCAAGTTGGGTCACAAGAGGCACTGCAGCTTCCTTCTTGGTCTCGAGTCTCTCACCCTGGAAGAGGCCAGTTACCATGTGGTGAGGACACTCGAGCAGCCCATGGAAAGGTCCGTGTGGAGAAAAACAGAGGCCTTCAGCCTGTGGGTGGATGTGGCACCGTGTGGTACCGTGTGGATAAGCCAACTTGAAAGTGGCTCCTGTAGGCTCAGTCACGTCTTCAGAAGACTACAGCCCCCTCGACGTCTTGACTGTAGCCTATGAGACACCTTGAAACAGAACCACCCAGCTGAGCAGCATGCACCTCAATTCCTGATCCACAGAAACTTAACAAGTGTTTACTGTTCCAGGCCACTAAGTGCTGGGGTAATTTGTTACACGGTAAGAGAAGCTAAAACACTTACCCGGGGTCATACGACTAGTAAGCTGGTAGAGGAGACATTTGAACACTGGTTTGTCTGTCCCCAGAGCTCATGTTCTTAACTCAGCCCAGAACTGCTGGAAGTGCTAGTTTATATTTTGCTTCCTTTAGAAAACTTTGACAAAGTCTACCCTCAAAATTCATCTTCCTCCAATCTGTACCCTTAAGCCCTACTCAAAATGCCCATTTATTTTGCCCCCAACAATCCCCATATTTGCCCAAGACCAACCTTACTTCGTTTGCAACTTCCAGCTCCTTTCAGTTTTGGGACCTACATCTTAGTGTTGGCACTAAGATTAAATGAGATAATATGTGTAAAAGTGCTTAGCAGAGGAATGGCGAAATTATACTATTTACTACTTCAAGTATACTTTTTATTAATAGTATAATATAATTATATTATTTATTTGAACACAGTATTTCTTCTGCTCTATGGATGAGGTCTCAACTCTGGGTATATATTAGAATCACCCAGGAAGCTATTAAAAACAAACAAACAAACAAACAAACCAATACATGGGCCATACCCTGAATTAAGAGGTCTGATTTAATAGGTCTTGGGGAAGCCAGGCAACAAAAACTCCCCAAATGACTTTAACGTGCAGCCAGGGTAGAAAACCACTGGATTAGGTCAGAGGTTCTCAACCAGAGGCTATTTTGTTGTCTCCCTGCCCCACTCGATCCCTCATGCCCCTGATATTTGCTAGTGTCTGGAGATATTCTTGATGGTGATGGCTTTAGGGAGGTGCTATTGGCATCTAGTAGGTGGAGGCCAGAGAAGCTGCTGAACATTCCACAATGCACAGGCCAGCCCCACATCAGAGAATTATCTGGTGCTAAATGTCAATAGTGCTAAGGTTCAAAAAACCTGGATTAGATATTGTTTCCAGCTCCTGCTCTCATTCTCTTTTTTTTTTTTAATTTTTTTTTTTTCTTCAACGTTTTTATTTTATTTTTGGGACAGAGAGAGACAGAGCATGAACGGGGGAGGGGTAGAGAGAGAGGGAGACACAGAATCGGAAACAGGCTCCAGGCTCCGAGCGATCAGCCCAGAGCCTGACGCGGGGCTCAAACTCACGGACCGCGAGATCGTGACCTGGCTGAAGTCGGACGCTTAACCGACTGCGCCACCCAGGCGTCCCTCATTCTCTTTAAGAACATTGGTTCTTACTTATCTCTCTGACTCTTCTGGTATCTTTGAGAAAGATACAAGACCTGAGTCCTTCCCTCTCAAGACCAAATGTGGGCACCAACCAGCTTGGCTGCTGCCCCAACTGGGTTGGCTCCAGGCCTGTCAGGAGGGTCTGTGAATGGTCTTGTGCTTCCCCATTTCCCTTCAGTGCTTTAGCATCTGTATTAGAACACTTGCTACAGAAACTATACTTAGTTGTAAATATGTCTCTCTTACTCCCAAAGCCAGAGCCCATATTTTATTCATCTCTATTTATTCCACAATACCAGGCTCTGTGCATTGCACTTGGTAGGTGTTCAATAAAATACTTATTGCATCAAAGTAGATTAATATAATTTAAAGTTTTATCACACTTCTTGGCATCTCTTTGAAAGGTTACAGAAATAGAGGATACAAATGCCAGTTAGGAGAGAGCTCTTATATTTCTGTTCTTGTGGAGTTAAAGTCAAATGGTCAGTTTTGCTACTTCTTAGTGTATTCATATGAGTTGCCAGAGGACGTGAGCAACCATTTTAAATTAAGATATATTTAAAAAAAATTTTAATGTTTATTTTTGACAGAGAGAGAGAGACAGAACGCGAGCGGAGGGGGGGGGGGGG